CCCCAAAACCCCAAAACCCCAAAACCCCAAAACCCCATGAGAGAGAATCATTTCAAAAATAAATAGAATAAAAAGGGTAAGGTTAATATAAAACTTAGCTAATTAATTTATATAGTAAACTATATATATTTGCAACCTCAGACCTCCTATCTTGCAACTCGACTATGTTGAGTAAGCTAGAGTATCATCCGCTCCCCCACTACCACACTCAATATGCACAGAAGAGTATAAGCAGTGAGAGAAGATGAATAGGAAGTCTAAAGGGATTTGCTATGGTTTCATTCATATAATGATACTTGAAAACTTAGGATTTTTCATTAATATAATGGATATCCATATTAGAAGTGCGATACTGGCTGGTAGTGGTAACAGTCATTGGCCCCCAAATATTGGCCTTACATTTAGTTTTGATAGCTAAACATACTATATTCTTGATGATAGCTGTTATAGTATTATTACTGAGTTTCATATGTATTGTTAAAATATTACTCTTGGAAATATGGCTGAGAATTATAAAGATTCTGAGAGGGCTCTGAGAAGCCTCTTTATTTGTCTTGAATAAACTAATAATTCCCATTGTAGTCCTAATCGAGAGCCATTGGATTTCGTGGTCTTTAAGGTATCAGTTATTGCTCCGACATTTGTCTCTCGAAGTTGAGAGAAACTCTTTCAGGGACTAAATCCAAGAGATTATGGGGTTAAGAGGAGGATCTCTTAATTCCTGAGTGGTCATCATTGCTCTCGGTTGTATTCTTTTATTTTATAAGGACAACAGGTTTAGTGATTGATTTTTTATTTGCATTTTACCAAATGCTAGCCATCTCTTCTTCAGCCTCAAGCAAAAACTTTAGGTTTCTTGAGCACTTCATAGTTGAGCTTTCATAATGGAAATCCTACTTATCAGCTAGATCTGAAGAAGAGAATAGACTTGTTTTATCCTCGTCCTCGGAGCTTGATCTTGTTAGTGGTGAAAGCCCAATTGTTGGAGTAGATTTTTGAGTTGAGACTTCACTACTACTTCCATATTCTGAATCGAATTTACTCAGCTTTAATAGCTGATTATTACTTTGTGATGGTGTGGCAAAATAAAGCTAGTTTAACTTATCAGATTTTTCGAATTATGTATTAGTAAATGGGGTAAATTATTCTTCCATCATTGGATTTTAGGTACTTTAAATATAAATTTTTATTAATAGTGATAAATTTCATTCAGCGTACCCTTTTATATTGTCAATATATTCTTTTTTAAATCAATTCCGATGAAAAATATTAAATTTCACGGGAGTGGGGTTTTGGGGTTTTGGGG